ACATGGCGTGGCAGAACCTCTCCTGGCCCGCCCACTGCTCCCCTCAGCAGTGTACTTTGATCATCTGTCTGTTCTGCTCCCCACTCTGTCTCTGGTGAATCTTATCACCCTCCACATCTCTGGCCTGTACCCCAGTTCTGTATGAATAAATGGATGAATCTTTAAGAAAAAAAAATTATCTTGGCTATTATGTAATGAGGAAAATATTGAAACAAATGACAAAATATAGACTATCTTCATATTCACCTATCTACCTTGGTCTGTTTCTCATAATTGCTTATGTGATCGATGGTTGTTCATTTAAGGTGGTTAATACAGTTGGGAGACAATCTCCAAAGGGACAAGGGTGCCTTCTGCTCTCCCTGAGGTCGATCTTAACACTAAACAATTAAGAGGGGAGAATGAAACCATCAGTAGTTAAGATTCATGTCTCTCTCTTGTTCATGTGTGAACTCTCAGACCCTTGTTAGCCCCCTTTTGCCTCTCCCTGTGGTGATAGATGACTGGCAGGGATTTCCCCAGAGGCAACAGATGGGCAAGCATTTTTGCCTTCTTTTCATGACTGTATTTAATTTCACAGGGAGAAAGCTGTTTTACATGTTAGCCACATAAGTTCTTTTCCTAGCCAGTGTATGCTTGTAGAAGAGGTGTGAGTAGATTTTTATTTTGTATCTTGGTATTCGAGTTTTTAAAAGGGCAGGTTTCAGTTATTGTTGTGTCTTCCAGGTGATGAGATTGGCACAGAACCTTGTTTTGACACCATTACGTTGGTGGTTTCGGATGGAGAAGCTGGCCCTTTTGTGAATGACTGTTGCTACAATGGACCTCTTCCGACTGTTCCTCTTCGTGAGCCCTTTCCAGTGTATGATCTCAACATCACAGTACATCCAGTGGACAACCAACCACCTTCAATCACAATAGGTGGCAATATTTTCTTTTCTGTTGAAATCCTCTTTTCTCATCTAGTGTCATACCTGTGGTTCAGTGAAATGATGCTGTTTACTTATATTCAAAAGAGAAAACTTCCTAAAGAATTGCTCCAATAGTTGTGTCAAAGCAAATTTTTGGAAATCTTCAAATCTATAAAAGATTATAGGGCAAACAATGTTCTCATTAAACATTTAAATATTTCTGTATATAGGGAGAATATAAATGTATATGAGAGACACAGAGAGAATGATGAAGCGTTGGAGTCCTCAAATATTTTGTTTTAATTTCACACGGGAAAACATCATTTGCCTGCTAGAGAAAGAGTAATTTATTTTATCTACAATAATTTCTATTAGAACAGAATGAGTATACCAGAGAGGCCATTTATATACATTTAACCTTATTTGCTTTTTAGAAAGTCATCTTTTCATAGACATTATGTATATGTTCTGTTTCTCAGGAAAAAAATGCAAGCATATGTATGAATGTTATTGTAATTTGCAAACTATCTTCCAAGCAATGTTCTGGAAAGGAAGCATTATCCCAGCAGAATAATTAAGCACAAAGGCATGAAAAAACTGTTCGTTGTGAACAATTCATAATAGCTCGCAGGCAATTAACGCTCTGACAAACAGAGGTAACAACTGATCTTGAAGAGTACATAAACTACATTTAGTGGCTTATCATTAAAACAGTTTGGCAATTCTTATTTTCATTTGTCACTTCTGTAGAGACACCAGGGAAATCAGAGTTCCTTGAGAATGACTAAAGGGCTGTACGAGAGCATTTAGTATTTCTGCTGTCTTTCCATTATCGTCTGGCTTGCTTGTACAAGAAAGAAAATATAATTCCATAAGTCAAATTAAATTCCACCCATTACCTCTGAATATTTTCACTGTAATAAGAAATTATGCCAAAGGAACATCTCCTGTGGAAGTTTATTTGCATGTGGGAGCTGTCTCTGAATTGGAATTTAAATCGCTCCCGTTTGTCCTTACTGTTCTGATTAGAGGATTCCATGCTAAGTCATAATTTGTTATTATTTGTACACAGGTAGCTTGTTCGTTGTAGAGGAGGGTTTCTCAGCAGCCCTCACCATTGGCCATTTGTCTGCCACTGATCCTGACACTGCAGCAGATGACTTGGAATTTGTTTTGGCTTCACCTCCTCAGTTTGGTTACATGGAAAACATACTCCCTTCTGCAGGTTTTGAAAAAAGCAATATGGGCATCAGTATAGGTAAGTCATGGCTTCATGAGCAGTAGTAACTCATCTCTTGCTTATGAACATGTGTGACCCAAAAATTCTTAATTCTTGGGTTAGGACTTAAAAATACATTTGGGGGCCCTCTCTGGTGGCGTGGCAGGTTAAAGCACTGCACTGAGAAGCTTAAACCACTTCCGCATGAGTTCGATTCTGTCCTGGAGGTGACCACATGGCGCCGCAGACCTCTCCTGACCCGCCCTCTGCTCCCCTCAGCAGTGTGCTTCGTGGATCTGCCTGCTCTGCTCCCCACTCTGTCTCTGGTGGAGCCTCTCGCCGCCCCTGAACCTCTGGCCTGTACCCCATTTCTATATGCACGCATAAAAAAAAAATACATTTGGGCCCAACCTGGTGGCGCAGTGGGCTAGGGCACAACACTGCAAGCTAGCTGCAGCTGCTTCAGTGTGAGTTCAATCTTCTGCCCCAAGGTAAACCTCGTGGCGTGGCAGACCTCTCCTGACCCACCCACTGCTCCCCTCAGCAGTTTACTTAAAAAGAGAGAAAAAAATGCGCACATTTTTCTACTTTGAATTTCTCTAGATCTGCATGTTTACTTCAAAATAAAATAAAACAATAAACACTGAAGAAATGATATTTTTAATATAACATGGACTACTGTGATGGAATAAATCTGTTGGGAACTCACAGAGATTAGGTTACATAATCCTTTAGTGTTATTAATAGATGTTGGTGGAAAAGCTAGTGAATATACCATAGGAATAACAGAAAGTCTGAAAGATTGAAGCAGATGACATTAATTTTGAAAACAAAATATGTCTTACATTTAAACAGCTCTTGTCTTTCAGACATAAATAAAACAACAAAAACCAAGACAGAAGCCAAAAACAAAATCATACAGAGACAACACTTTAGAAGTAAATGATTATCTAAACTCCTTTTGAGACATATCCTTTTTAAACATGACAAAGGCTACATGAATAGAATGACCGAATTGATAGGAAAAGTGAGAATTCAGCTAGATGCTGCCTACAAGAATTCTCCTTCAACTTCAAGGAAACACATAGTTTCAAGTAAAGAGATGGAAAACTGAAACTAAAAGTGCCTAGAATAATTATGCCTATGTCAGATGAAATATACTTCAAGTCAAATTGCAGTAAGGGACAATGAAGTTCATTATATAATGATAAAAGGGTCAATTCATCAAGTTTTGTAACAACTAAAAATTTACAGGTGCCTAACATTGGAGAACCTAAATATACTAAATAAATACTAATATATCTTAAGGGAGTATAGACAACAACACAGAATGATCAGGGAATGTCAACTGTGTATGAATCATTCAGATAAAAGGTCAGCAAGGAAATACTGTATTTGAAGTATACTTTAGGCAAAATGGACAGAACATTCTATCTAATAGTAGCAGAATAGATATTCTTCTCAAACACACATGGAATATCCTCCAGAATAGATCATATAGATCACAAAACCAGTCTCAGCAAATTTAACAATAAGATTGTAATCATACCAAATGTCTTTTCTCATCACAATGTTATAAAATTAGAAATCAAGAACAGGGAGAAAACTACTTAATTCACAAATATATGGAAAATTAACAACATATTCTTGAACAGCCAATAGGTAAAAGATGAAATAAGAAAATAATTGAAACAAATTAAGGTGAAACAAAGATACCAAAAGTTGTGAGATGCAGAGGGAAGTTTAGAATGATTAAAATAAAGGAGGATCTCAACTAAGCAACTGAACTTTACCCTCAGAAAACTAAAAAAAAAAAAAAAAAAAAGACTAAATAAAGTCCAAAGCTAGCAGAAGGAGATAACAAATGACATTTTTCACAGAAATGTAAAAAACAGCCCCCAAATTTGTATAGAACCACAAACCCTGAATAGCTAAAGCAATCCCAAAAAGAAAAAAAGCTAGGGGAATTACACTTTATGGTTTCAAATTATATTTCAAAATTATAGTAATGAAAATAGTTTGGCACTGGCATGAGCATGGATACATAGGCTGGTGCAGTAGAACCAAGAATTTAAAAATAAACCTACACATGTATGGTCAACATATATTTGACAGAGGGGCCAACAATAGTCAATGGAGAAAAAATAGCTTCTTCAATAAGTGTTTTTAGAAAGCTGGAGGATGACTTGTAAAAAAGTAATGAAACTAAAACCCATCTTGCACTATTAAAAAAAAAACCAGCTCTAAAGGAATTTAAGATGTAAGAGTTGAAGCTCTAAAACTCCTTGAAGAAAATAAAGAACTTTTTCACATTGGTCTTAAGTGGTATTTTTGGATAAGTAACAAAAACAACAAATCATCATTAGGACTACAACAAATTAAAAAATTCTGGGGCTGTGAGTATGAAAAAATTCTTCTGTACAGAAAAAAAATCATAAACAAAATCAAAAAATAGTCTGTGGAGTGAAAGAAGATATTTGCCAACCATATACCAGATGAGAAGTTATTATCTGAAATAAGGATCTCATATATTAAATGACAAAACAAAAACAAGTGAAAAATTAAATTTAAAAATGGGCAGAGGACTAGAATATATCTCTCCAAAGAAGTCTTAATCTCTGAGAGGTATATGAAGACAATTCCAACATTACAAATCAGCAGAAAAATGCAAATGAAAACTATAAGATATAATTGTCATTAAGTTAATAAAAGCAAAATGCCAGTGAGCATTTAGAGAAAACAGAACCCCTTATGTACTTGTTGGTGGTAGTCTAAATTGGTCAGGACTATGGAAAACAGCATGGAGGTTTGTCAAAAATATAAAGTGCAGAGCCCTCCCTGGTGGCGCAGCAGGTTAAAGCATAGCACTAGGAAGCTAAATCTACTTCAGAACGAGTTCAGTCCTTGCATGTCCTGGGGGTGATCCACACAGCTCGGCAGACCTCTCCTGACATGGCCGGTGCTCCCCTCAAGCAGTGTACTTGGTCAGTTGGCCTGTTCTGCTCCCCACTCTGTCTCTGGTGAATCCTCTCACTGCCTCTACACCTCTGGTCTGTACCCCAGTTCTGTATGCATAAATAACTCTTTATATAAAAATATAAAGTGTGATATGATACAGCAATCCCACTTCTAGTTGTATAGTCTAAGGAAGTGAAATAACCATCCCCAAAAGATATCTGCCTTCCCATGTTTGTTGTGCTATTATTCTTTTTTTTTTTTTTAAAGATGTATTTATTCATACAGAACTGGGATACAGGCCAGAGATGCAGAGAGTGAGAGGATACACCAGAGACAGAGTGGGGAGCAGAACAGGCAGATCGACAAAGTACACTGCTGAGGGGAGCAACAGGCGGGTCAGGAGAGGTCTGCCTGCGCCATGTGGATCTCCCCCAGGGCAGGTGGGAATCGAACTCATGTGGAAGTGGCTTAAGCTTCTTAGTGCTATGCTTTAACCCACTGCGCCACCAGGGAGGGCCTGTGCTATTATTCTTAATAGCCAAAATATAGAAATAACCTGTGTACATTTGATAAGTGAATGGATAAAGAAGTCATGGTATAGAGATACAGTGGAACATTATTCATCCATAAATGGGGAAATCCAGCCATTTGCAATAATGCAGATATAACGGGAGGGTACTATGCTAACTAAAATAAGTCAGAAAAAGAAATTTAAAATGGTATGATCTCACTTATGTATAACCTAAAAACATTAAATTCATAAAGGCATTAGAATTGTAGCTGCCAGGAACTGGTGACTGGGGAAATGGGGAGATTTGCTCAACGTTACAAATTTACAGTTATAAAGCAAATTATTTATGGGGAGGGGAATTTGAGGTATGGTATGTGGCTATAGTTAACAATGTCATATTGTATATAAAAATTGCTTTGAGAGGCCCTCCCTGGTGGTGCATCAGGTTAAGAGCAGTACTGTAAGCTGGCCACAACCACTACACTGTGAGTTTGATCCCCTACCCCGGCGGTGACCACATGACATGGCAGACCTCTCCTGACCCACCAGCTGCTCCCCTCAGCAGTGTACTTTGTCAGTCTGCCTGTTCTGCAGACTGTCTCTGAGTGAATCCTCTCAGAGACTGTTCCACTGTCTCTGGTGAATCCTCTCACTGCCCCTGCACCTCTGGCTTGTACCCCAGTTCTGTATGAATAAATAAATAAATCTTAAAAAAAAAAGAAAAAAAATTGCTTTGAGAGTAGAATTTTAATGTCCTTGCCCTAAAAACAACAAAATGGTAAATCTGTGAGGTAGGTGTTAACCAACCTTATTGCAGTAAACATTCCTTAATATATGTACATTGAAATATAACACTGTTATCTAAAACTTACCCAGTGCCATAGACCTATATATCTTAATAAAACTGAGAGGAAAAGATTAATTGCATTAAGAGTTATATAGTTCATCTCATGACTTAATGTTCAACATATTACATTTTTTCTCTTGATTGATAGCAGTGTTAAAGTACCAAATCAGCAGGTCAGTGATTTTACTCAGTTTAACCAGTTGCTTCCTGTGTACATTAAGTAGACAGATGATTGACTTTCATTTTACTTTTATATGCAAGAGATGGCCTCTTTCTTATTCAACCATAAGAAGTGCTCATTCAGAAGAGGTGGTTTTAATCAACAGAAGGTCCCACTGACTTTCATTCTAGTGTAGGTTATGAAGTCCCTATACATCTGGGTAGCAGTTACTGCCTTTCTGCTGTCCGTGCAACTTAGTCCTATGTGATTTATAGATATCTGTTTCATGTTGATGGTTGACAGTCATGATAACAGCCCTGATAGCTTGTCATGATTCTCTTACTTGCTTTGCTAAGAAATAGGCTATTGGGCTAATGATTGAGTACAAAGAGCTTGGAAGAAATGCTTTTTTACTTACCTGCTATATCTTGCTGTATTCTAGGCTCATTTAAGTGGAAAGACATGAAGGCTTTGCATATTAACTATGTGCAGTCTAGGCATCTGCGGATGGAACCAACTGCTGACCAGTTCATGATATATGTCACAGATGGGAAGCGACGGTCCTTGGAGATACCATTTTATGTTATAATCAAACCCACGAATGATGAAGTTCCTGATTTTGTAGTGCAGAATATTACTGTAAGCAAAATCAGAATTTTCAATTTCTCTTATAATTTTATGGCTTTCACTTGTCCATTCATGTTGATATGGATGCACATAACACATTAAGCTGGTGGGGGGTGGAGAGGATAATAATCTATTTTATGCAATATAATCACTTGAAAAGTAGACACCTAATAATAGTGATGATAGAAATGATAATCTTATTTGCTAACATGTCAATTATATGGGTGCAGTTATAGTTGTATGTTCATAGGATGGAATATTTATTTGTTTGTAGGAACTATTTCAAATCTTTATGTGCATTTATATGAATATACCTAATAGGGGTTTAGGGTGATATTATTGCATTTATATGAATATATCTAATAGGGACTTAGGGTGATATTATTGCCAGTTAGTAACTAAAAACATGAGGCATAAAAACACTAACTCAGAGATGCCAGTATTTTTTACATAGTTATAGAAAATTTAAAAACACATTTTGATTATTTTCATGCCATTTGAAAATGATTTATATAATAATATTTTTTAGTTTCATTTAAAATTCAGATGTATAGTTAAACTATCACGTTTCAGGTAATACTTGTCTTTTAAAAGGTAAACATAAGTTTATGCAGTTAAGCAAATGAGAATGTTGAGAAACATATAAAGAGAATTATGAAATTCTTCCTCTTTAATAATCTTACTCATAGTCACTCCCCAGAAGTTGAGTTTTTACTAATTACTGCACAAAAGCAATTTCCACACTGCCAATGTGTGTGTATGTAGAGTATGTTTTTAGTATGTTTTCTTTACAAATCAGGGATCATATTATATCCACTACACTCTATATTACCTGAATATTAATTATGTGCATTGGCAATTTTTTCCTCAACATATAATTCTTTTAAACAATTCCTTTAAATACATACACCCACAGACACACACATGATTACTTAACCCTCAAATATGAATAACAAATATTGGTTAAATGGATGAACACAGGTTTTGGAGTCATAGAGACTTAGATGTTGCTGTTTCCTAGCAGTAGAGTCTTAGTTAAGTTATTTTTCTCTATACTTCTGTCTTCATATATAAAGTGTGTATCAGCTCTTCCTTAAGGGTTAGCATGATAATCAAGGTGGTCAGGACACACTAGACCGTTAATAAAGAGGTGCTATTTAGATTATCGCTGTTATTGTGTTTGTCATATTTTTTCCCCCTGACATTGATCAAAGCAAATATCTATTTGAAGCTATCATCTTGCCTTATTTTCATAAATCCTAAATGAATCTGTCATAAAATCCTAAATGCTAAGGTATTTGATTTTAATTTTCTACTGAATCTTAATGCCATAGGAGAGCTTCTTCTGGATGAGATTTGAATGCCTGTTCCTGCCTTTTCTCTTCTGTTGGCACATGGGTTTCTCTAGAGAGCCCTTCAGTAATTATGAGAGAGAAAATCATCTACAAATGATACCATCTTTACCTACTGCTATTGTCTTGTGTCTTTCTAGGGTTGGGGGTTTCTGAAATAATTAAACCTCAGGGAAATTGTCCCTTGCTCTTTGAAAGTAATCATACTTTTACCTGTGTATTCCTTACAGAAGCTGTTGAAGGCTAACAATTATGGAGCCCTTTGTTAGTTATTGGCAGAGCTCATTTTGAGCTTTAAGTGATTTTTTTTTAAAAAGTCACATTTATTTTGCTTTCCCATGAAAACTATGTTTTATAGATAATTGGGCTTCCATCAAGTTGCGCTGCAATTTGCAAAAAAGTTGAGCTATTAAATTATAATACATTTCAAACCTGTTTACTAGTGAACTGTTTTGTGTGTATATAGGTTTAAACCTTTCTTTATATAATATCAACAAACAATTAAAGGTGCAAGAAAATCCCACATCTTTTTCAACTGACTTTCTCCAGTCATCTTGTGAATTAAAAATTTACCATTTCAAAGTGAGAAAGGTTGTCATAGCGTGAGTCGAGGAGTCCTAAGAGCAAGATCATTAGAACATGTTTTCAGATTTCTTCTAAAAGTTGTTGAGAAAAATGGGCCCTCCCTGGTGGTGCAGCAGGTTAAAGCACAGCACTAAGAAGCTAAAGCCACTTCAGCATAAGTTCGATCCTCTCATGTCCCAGAAGTGATCCACATGGCCCTACAGACCTCTCCTGACCCGCCCACTGCTCCCCTCAGCAGTACTTCGTCAGTCTGCCTGTTCTGTTCCCCACTCTGTCTCTGGTGAGTCCTCTCACCGCCCCTGCACCTCTGGCCTGAACCCCAGTTCTGTATGCATAAATAGATAAATCTTTAAAAAAAAAGTTGTTGAGGAAAAGGCAGGTTATTGTCAAAAATGAATTCACATCTCAATCACTGTGTGTTTAATTATGATATCAGCTTAGTTCTTAGTAACTAGGATTACGTGAAAGAAAACCAGCAT